TACAGTCACCCCCTGGTGTGACTGTATTTATTTTTAATCATGCAGAGCAAATTAACCAGCCTATGGAGCTTTAAAATGACAGAAATCTCCTTACTCGAAGGTACGGCAATGGCAGTGTTTATCGAGCCAAGCGGAGGAGCAGTACTGAAATGGTAAATTAGCCTCAGCTTCATTTCTCCTGCAGTGAGCGCTCCACTTGACAGTGAATGTGTTTCCATAGGAACATGGTGTTACTTTGAGCCCTCAATGTTCCTGCATGTTTTTTTTTTCCCTTTTCTTTTCTTATCTTTCCTGTTCGGTTTCCTCTGCACTCATCAGGCAGAGGCAGAAGGAGAAAGGGGTTTGGAAATGAAATCAATAGGGCCATTTAATAAGCAGCAGGGCACTCATTTTTCTTGTTCCTTTGGCATGTCTCAAAAGCACGCTCGGGTCTCCTCTCCCTGAGATCTTTGTTAGTCAAGATGTCTTTTTATTAGAGCCTGCAAGGATGTGCAGCTCCTGCTTTTATCTGCATCCGCTTTAAATTGTATCAGCTGAAACATTACAGCAGATACTTCCAGGATAATTAGTTAAGACCGCAGAGTTGCTGAAAATCCTCATGAGAGACGGCAGAGACGCTTCTCTAGCTGAACATTATAGTGGGATTTCTCTGCTTTTCATTAAAGACGGTTTGCTCAGTCGTTCTGCAAAATTTTGTAGGACTATGTAGGGGTAACATTAACAGAGCAGATGTGTTAGAGAAAACCCTATATGAAAGCAGGAGAGCAGATTAGGATCGGCGATGATTTGCAGTGGTGTCCTTGCAGGCTCCTCTTCACCTGACTAGATGTTTTACGAGCTTTAGTCAGAAAAAGGAGGCAGACTTATAATACAGCTGACAGAAACCTTTCTACAGTGGATGGGCAGAGGAGGAATGTGTGTGTGTGTGGGGAGGTGTAATAAAGCTGAGTGCATCTCCTCCTAGAATGAGGCTGCAGGGATTGGAAGGAGGGCAGGGGAGTAGGGGGAGGCTGGGAGAGCGTGTTCACATGTTGTTTATGAGAGGGAGGCAGACGTGTCCGTGTTGGAAATAACTCTGCTTGTTCAAACCAAGAGGTGCTTCCCTTGCAGGAGGTGAGGAAAGAATAAAACTCTTTGCACCACATCAACTAAAAATACCCAATTATACAGGCTCCTTTTTTCCTGTAGTGTGTTGAGGCGTGTTTTTGAATCCACCGTAAGCTGTTTTAAATACTTACTGATGAGCTATTATACAGTATAGTTTGGTGAAATGACACTTCATTATCAACACTGGAATGAAAAGACACTCAAGACAGTGAAGATCATGTTTCCATCTTCTCTCATTATTTCTCTCACAGCAGCATTTCTCCTTCAGATGCTGCTGATTGTTACATCTTCGCTGCAAAGGCTTGACTGGTTATTTGTTATATATTGGAAAGAAGGTTGAAATGGCTGACCTTTTTCTTTAAAAGAAGTCTTCAGTGTGTCACAATTACATTTTATGTTTCAAACCTGCACAAACTAGTGCAAATCCCAGAGATTTTCCAAGAGAAAAAAAAACACATGATAATAAGAACAAAACAATAAATTCCATGTTTTTAGCTGTCAACCACATGTTACTATTTTTCCGGCTGCAAGGCTTTACTGTTTATGTTCCATGCTGGTTTGCTTTAAGTTTGACACTTATATTTGTTTATCTAAGACTAATGGGTTTTGCCAATTTTTATTCACATTTTAGTATAGTCATGATCAGATTGAATAAAGAACATACATTTTTAATTGAAACTGTAGATCCACAATTGATTTAAGGTTTGAATTTTAACTCAACTGCTCTGAAGCATGGCTTCATGTCAAAATCAAGTCCTAAAGGGCCAACATCCTGCACCTGCTTTAACACACCTGATAAGTAGGTATTTTTCAGAACTCAGGAGGACTTAGCAGGAAACAGGAGAACTTGTCTTCAGCTAAATAATTAAGCCATATATCAAATGTATATTCTAGCAATTTGAAATTAAAAGAGAGACTATAGGTAGAACTTAAAGATATTTTCACTGCAGCTGAAAACAGGTGCTCAGTAAAGAAAGATGATTTATAAAAAAAAGTAGTAACAACGTTCAGTATTTGTCAGCAAATGGGAGGGAGTTGGCTAAAGGAAAAGAATAAACATTTGCACGTCAGTAGTAGAAAACAAAGGTACAGAGGTTAGTAAAAGAGTTAGTAAAAGTGTGGTTAATGAGTGGATAACAGGAGACAGAGATGAATCCAGAATGTGTGACATCGCTATTGGGAGTAATAAATAAGTATAAATATATTGTTTTCATATTCAAAGCTTTTCTGATGCAAAATAAAAACCTTATGTATCTCCTCCTTATTTAATCAATCTGTTTTTTGTTTTTGTTTTTTTTGATTGTCTGCTTTTTAAGCAAACATTAAAACAAAGGGAATACATTTCTAGGACTGCATAGTTATTTTTTGTTAATTATGATGTTAATAATAAAGGATTAGCTGCTCTATTTTATTTTTTTCCCCCTTTTTTTTCCCTGGGAGGGTTTACAGCTGCCGGCTGCTGATGGCCCTTTTTTATCTGTTCTAAAATTCAGGGTGGTAAGCTGTAATGATTTTAACACTAAAGGAACGTAATTTTGAGCAATTTATACAAAGTGCTTGAAAGTTAGGTAAAGAGAAGCAACAATGCAGAATACAATAGAATACCTCCTTCCACCTGAATCTTAAGAGGGAACTCGGATGTTGGAAAAACATCCCTCCCAAACGTTTTCTCTAGTTTTCTTACAAATATTTATGCAATCTCAGTGTATAGGGATGGATGCATGAAACTGAATCTGACAAACTGAAGCTAAGTAGCATCAGCTGCCACATCAGATCACTGCACTATTTTATCAAAATGATGTGGATTTGTTCTTGCAAGGAAACATTTACATTAGAAGTTCCCTCTTACATATTTATTCTAGTCTTTAATAAAGGCATAATTTTAAGTTTTGGGGAAAATGAAATGAAAACTACATTGATTGCTTACATACAGAACTGTGGTCCATTAAACCCTTGAAGAATTTTCTATTGAACATGTATTTACCGAAGTCTGACTGGAGAGACTCCCTGACAAACTCATGATAACATCTGGTGCATGCAGAGTTTCAGCGTTTTTCACGTCTGCTCCATTGTTTCTTCTCCAATCTCGTTTTTTAATCAATTGCTTCATAAAATACAACCTCCAATGAGCCTTTCTTTTTTTTTGTAATGAAATCTCAATGGGTGGCCATCCATATCGAAGTACTCTGAGCTGACACTGAGCTAATTAAACTAATCTGAGCTCAGAGAATTACATTATGAATCAACTTGGGTTGCAGAAACAGAGTAAATTAGTTAATTATTAGCAACACAGCAGTTTCCTTTTTTTTGGTTCAATGAGCACCACAAGAGTCATTAAAATGAACTTTAATTGTTTTTCATTTTTGATGTAGTAAAGATGGATAAGCCCAAATCATCCAGCTGTGGAAATATTTAAAGTTTCCACTGGAGACTGAGAGGCATCAAAGTCCTAGAAAAATGAACAAAAGCGTTAACGTTTTGTATTATTAAAAGTTTCAAACAAACATTTGTGATAATTCACAAAAAGTATGTACATATGGGAAACTTTGACTTACTCTTATCTATCTATTTTTTTTCAAACAGCCACAATGTAAAAAAGGAACAGAATTAGGTCCAGATTTTAACTAGGCCACTAAAAACCCTTTTAATTTACCTTTTGAGTCATTCACAGATGAACTCGCTGCTCTGCTTTGGATCATTGTCCTGCTGTATTACTACATTCGTCTGTAGGGTTTTATGTTAGAGAAAAAAATTACCTGGCACCAATAACAAGCCTTACAGGACTTAAAAATACTAATAATTGAACTCTGTTAATCCCACAATGCAGAAAGTCACCCTCTGCATTTAACCCATCCCCCTGGGGAGCAGTGGGCTGCGACTGTGCAGCACCCGGGGAGCAGCGTGTGGTTAAGGTTGTTGCTCAGGGAGCCAGAGTGGAGGCTCTGGGGATTGAACCGGATACTTGCAACCTTCTCAGAGCACACTGCGCCAACCACTAGGCCAACACTCCCCCATCCAGAGATACCTGAGCCAGCAAGTACAACTTTACGCTTTATTGTTAGTATAATGTTCTTCTTTAGAAAAAAAAAATGCTGAGGGTTTTATGTCATATTCTACTCAGTAAGGTTCACTTTTGTCCTATCAGATCACAAACTGTTTTTATGGAATCCACTGGGGATTGGTAGTCTTTAAAACTGATCCTATAAAAGGAAAGTGAGGACTGCAGAGCTTTAGATGTTTAATTGGGATATTATGATTTCCTGCAGTCCCAAAGCTTTAAAAATAGTTTTTCAGAGGCCGGTGTGTGGTAAAGGAGTATGGCCAGCACTATGTTTACGGAGGCTATCAGTCCTTCTAGGACCCATCCAGGGTTTGATTCCCAATCCTGCAACATTTGTTGAATGTTTTCCCCTCTTCTTTCTCTGCATGTTTTTGCCTGAATACTACAAATAAGCGGCATCTAGTGCCACAAAAAACTATTTTTTAAAACAGAAATGGTTTCCTTAAACATTTCCATACTGACATATATGTGTCATGTTGATTCTTGTCTGTTGTTTAACCTGTGGATCAGGGCATGATGTGTTACTTTTTCAGATCATTCAGTCTGCTTCATGTTATCAAACAGGTTTTGGGGGGAAATACATTTTGTTTCCATCAGCCTGATATTAAAAATGGCAGATAAAATTAAATTTAGCTTTTTAAAAATATGGTTAATATTTTATGATTGTGATATCACATATGTAGGTTATCCTTAACTAATATCTAAAGTATTTTTATTATTTAATATGAAGAAATTTGTATGGCTATATTTTCCACAGCACTGATCCATGTGCAGAAATCATGTGTTGAATTTTCAAATCTAAATGTTTGTGGCTTTACTCTTTTTTTTACAGATTTCAACATCCATGTTAGACAGCCGTATGAAGACTTAAACAGCTCCTCATCTCTCCTGAATGAGAAACTTCTTAAAGGAATGGGGTGCATTTGTCACACGGAATAGTTTCCCTACTGATGAGCTAAACCCAAGCCATAAATCAGCATCTGAGGACCTTTTTCTCATCACCATTTCCTACAGCAACTAAAAGAAGAACAGGGATGCTTGCAAGCCAAGGTGCACTGGGATTCTATTACTGTCGCTTTATTGTTTTCACAGTTCAGATTTCCAATCTATTAACAGCATCAATGTGAGAAATTGTCTTCATCCTACAGAAAGTCTCCAACTGAGCGAAACAAACACCTGGCTTGATGCCACAGCACCTAGAAAACTTTTTTTTAATATTTAATATCAGCTATTTATTCATTTCTAATCCATTCTCCTTTCCTGTCTGAGCCCTTTTTCAAACCTCAACCTCATTAATAACTTTAAGCATTACTTTTTTGGGTTAGTACTGTTGTATGAGAGCAAACTTTCTGAACGCTGATGTGATTCGGTCACATGAGACGGGCCAAATGGGACCAACACTGAACAGTCATGTTTGACACAAACTGTTTTTGACATCAGGAAAACATCTTCTTCAATAATCCAACACAACCCCGGGCATCTGACGGCCTTCAGGAGCTGCTTCCACCAGGATAAATCTGGGCATGTGCTGTTGTCCTTTGGACCCAGCGTCATAACAAGAGAAAAATTAAAGAATAGGATTAAACATGGATTATCACTGAAACAGTAAAGCCATCAAAGCAGCTGCCTTTGTATAAACCCATTGAAGGCTCTTAGGGCAAGCGCTCTGCCAACCGATTTGTAGATTACATCCGCCTGTTGATGTGATGGCCTCCTGTGCACTTGCTTTTTAAAAAGACGGATGGAGAATATAGATGAGCTGGAGCACCCTATTCTGGGAGAAAGCACCAGTAACAAACAAGCATCAGGGCAGGGAACTGGACTGGGACAGGCCCCAGTTGGGCTTTTTAAGGGCATTTTGGTGAAGCGTGAGGAGGACAGAGCATATCCTCCTTTGGCTTGGAGGGGTTATTGTGGACATCCTCCAGAGCTGCAGCATCAGCAGCTGCTGGACCCTTGCTCCTTACCCCGCACCCTGGAGTCCTTTTACCCAACGGGCCCCCTGTGGGGCCAAACAGACCTTCTCAGCAAGGACTATCTTGAGACCACCTTTGTGGACATTCGGCCTGGCTCAGCGCTGGAGAGGAAGCTGCTGGCTGAGACACAGGACTTCCATAGTGCTGCCTACAGCATGGATGATGAGGACGACCTACTTCCTGACTCTGATGTAAGAAAAGGCCTCATGAAATCACAGAATGGTTGAATCTGTCCTAACAATTGATATAAAAAAAACATAATGAGAATACAACTATTTAAACATAGACAAGATAAATACTGGTTTAAATCAAGTAAATCAACTTTAAGATAAACGTAAGTATTTGGAGAGCTAATTTATTTCATTTTTTGTCCCTGCATGCACATACCTTCCAGCCATCAATAAAAATCTCTCCAACAAATGATCCACTGCACCTTCAACAATAAAATATGCAAACAGGCTCAGGTCCCTTGCAAACATAAAATGGCATGTGGCATATCTCCCTGTAAAAAGGTGTATGTTTAGCAGAAAATCCTAAATAAATAAGTTAGGCAGCAAAAAAAAGTATTGAAAATAATATTAAAGAGGAAGAAAGAGAGATGAAGAAACATCAGAAACATGCTTATTAGGGTTTATGATGATTCTGCTTTTGCTTTTGAAGCCGTATTGTGACTGAATTGCAGCGGTTAGTCAGAAATTTGGTTTATTATCCTTCTGACTGTTCCATCTTTTAACACAGCCGTCTTCTCCTTGACGTAACTTAAAAGGATTAAGGCATAATTATTAAAAGTTCAGAAAAACATCCATATGCTAAGCTGTGTTTTTATAAACAAGTTACCGGTATTTCTTGTTGCTTATTAAATCTCTGTTACAGAAATAATAATGTGTTTTACCAGCATCACAAACCAGATTAAAACACACATTTTTAGCTTTTCTCCGTGAAATGCTGACATATAGCTCACTTTTTCCTTTCCCAACTTGTCTTACTGTATTTTTGTATGAAACCAGAGACCTTTATGCTCTCTGTAGAGCTACTGGAGGCTGAAGAGGAACCTAAAATAGGCATATGAGCAATGCATTCAAGGTAGGCAGCGATTCAGCTCTTTCTATCACAAAGCCAGGTTATATAAAGCTACTTTGATGCTTTAGCACAGGTACTAACACAGCTGAGATTGTATGAATTCCATATAATCTCTTTTGGAGCAAACAAAAAACAGAAATATGGTATCTTTAAGGCAAACAACAACCATATATAGTGACAATGTTCTGGTGTTACTGCTTAGCTACATTCCTATATATATATATATTTTTTTTTTAAGTTCATTGGAGAACGATCAGATTTACATCCTCTGCTGAAGCAAAATACTGAAAATATTTGACTTGGCTTTGTGGAAAACATATATGGCTGCTCTGTTTGTTCTAATCGGAAGAACTTAATTTGAAAAAGCAGAATTTCAGCTGAAATTTGAAACTAAATAGTTTGTACCATTTTGGTCTTCCCCCAGTCAGATGGTGAGGGACATTGCGGTCACAATGATTGATGGGTGCATGCACAGAGACTGCTAAGACTACAAAGCAAAAAAACATGTGCAAAATAATTTTTTGATTTGAATAAGTGATTCTGATACATTCTTCACAAACTGAGCATGATGACTATCATCTGGATGAGTCAAGATTTCATGTGCTTGACCAGTTAAAGTCAAAGCATGACATGTAGAGTGCCTTTGATAGCGTGATTTCCGAAGCACGGAGTCAAAAACAACAATGACAAAACAACATAGGTATGTCTGCAAAAACCCACTCTGTCAAATTTTTCCACAGGCCATCAGGAGCTCTTTAATTGGAGCCTGAGTTGCAATCTGTGGGGCTCGAAATCTGAACCTTAGGATTCCAAGCTCTATGCACTAACCACTACGCCACCACTTCCCCATTAATAATGCAATATGGATAGAAAAAAAGATTTGGCCTCAGGTTTGCCTCAAACAACAATTTTATTGATCACATCTTTCACAAGTAATGTTCCCTAAATGCATCAATTGTCATCACTTGTCTGACTTTGAACATGTTAGTTTATTGTAGACCAAATTGATGCATTTTCAGATTGTCTGAGTGGAAGGGATAGTATGAGATATATTATTAACCTTATTGCAGTTGTTAACAGATGCTGTACATATTATATAAGCGAACACTGGTTCAAGTTTTGTTTTTGTTTGAGAGCAGCATTCAATTCATACAAAGATGTACAATCAGTAAGAACAAACTTATAAAAAAAACTTCTCACCAGGATCTAAACAGGGCTTCCTTCAGTCACTGCAAGTTAAACTGAGGTTGCTGTTTTCTTTTTTTTTCCTGCTTATTGGTGTCAGCTTTGAATAGAAGTCGTATCAGTGCACCTGAGCTAAGGCATAAAGTGCTGCGCTGCACTGAGTCCACTGCAGTGGATTTAACTGACCTGTCCAGTGATGGATGAATTTACATCCCACAGGACTCACAGTTGGACAGGCATTCATGGCAGATGGTGATTTGTGAATTGCATGTTGAAAATCCCTACCTGCACCAGCTGTGCATGGCAGCAAAGCAGATACCTGAATCAGATTAATATTAATCAAATTAAAACAGAACAGTGACTTGTGCATGAGCTGCAGGTATATTGCTACTATTTAAACCTCCATTTTTTTTTTTTTTTGTTTAAATGTGCAATATAGTTTAAGTGTTTAGTTAATCCTTGTCTGTAGCCAACAGGTCCTGTAGCATGATCAGATAATGACTGCCATATGCAGATGCAGAAACCATGCAATTTATAAACAGCACATAATAGAAATAAACTATAAATAAATTGTCAGCATTATTTCTTCCTAAAGCATTTTGGGACTTTCCCAGTAATTTTAAGGAGCTTTTAAAAAGATTGGTTTATGTGCAATAAACAAAACAGTGTTTTTAGGACGTCCAGCTTGTTCATGTAAGAAAAAAAAAGGAAACAAGCAGAGTAGCAGGGTCGGGTCGAGGAAGTCAGATTGAATATAGAGAATTATACACAGATTTATGAGTCACGGATAGCCTGCAGTCAGGGAAGCTTGTGCACATTCAGACTATAACCCCATGAAGTCACAAGTGAATTTGTCTGATTCTGTAAAAGACGTGAACATAATGAAACTAGCGTATTTCTCCTGCTTTCATGAGCTGTGAATTAGTTTTGAAGCAGATTATCTTTGCAAGCTTTAAGATTTAATAGGACCTTCAACTTGAAGGTCTTTATTTTAATGCATATCGTTTTTTTCTTTCCCAAATGATGTTACTGGCTTTAAAGCTATTCAAGGTTATAAATTGTAATGAATCAGATGAAGCAGCTCTGAAAATGTTGGCAGCAGCGAGAAACGGTTTCTTCAAAGCTGAAGTAAACCTGGTGTTTCCATCCTCAGAAGGAATTTACATTTCCTCATTCCTTATGTGCAGATCTGGATCTAGGAGACAAACATCTATAGAAACTGGCAAGGTTTTAAAGTCACAGATCTGAAGTCACCCTGAATGTTGTCTGTTTGAATCCCAGGACTCGTCCATTGATGATCTCAGTGATACGGACAGTGACAGCAACTTTCCTCTGATGATCCCTCAGGACTATTTGGGTCTGGCGTTTTTCTCCATGCTCTGCTGCTTCTGGCCTTTGGGTATCGCCGCTTTCTATCTTTCTCAGAAGGTATGAACCTAAACTCACCCAAAAACTGTCAACCACATGTCTAACAACTGTTTCATATGCAGTATAAGCATTTTATTTTAAGTGTTTAGAGACAAAGAGTTTTTTTTTTGTTTTTTGTTTTTTTAAACCTGAGCAGCTTACTTCAATATTCTGAGGATTTTAGATCAAAATTCTTTAAAAAAAAAATTCTGTATTTAAAGAACAAAGTTAAAGTGAAATAATTATTTTTTCTCTGTAAAAGCAAATATGTTCTTTTAAAGTAGTCATGATCATCAATTCTTTACCCCGAAAGTCTTTCAAAGCTTTTGTTCAGGGTGTAGTTTCAGGTATTAAGGAAAAATAACTGAAAATTTAGCAAAGAATTGAGTCAAATCAAGTTAATGTTTTGGTGCTTCAGGCTGCTTTGACGTCATTCTCATTGCTGTTGATGCATCTTGGGAAAATAAAATATAATCCAGGGTAATTTGTTATCTGTGGTGTAATGGAAATGATAGAGTAAATATCATCTCAAGTATTTATGTGGTCAATGAAATTCTCACAGCTTGATAAACATGAGTCAAAACATTTAGATTTTAGGCTGTTTAAACAAAAAACATTGAATAATTTCAAACCTGGTTTATTTTATTTCATTGAAAACATTTCATCAACAATTATTGTGCTTTTGGTACTGCTAATAATATTAATCATTTTGGCATATATGGTGAAAGAAGCATGTTGGAAACACAAAATGGCCTCTGTGAATTTTTCTGTGATTTTAAGTGTGCTGAAAAACATGACAGTTTGTGTTTTTTAGTGAATAAAAATAAGTTTAGATGGACAAAATGCTCCTTCTTGTTAGTCAGACAAAATGTAGTATTGTTCTTTTAAGCATCTTACAGGCAGTAGGCAGCAACAGGTGAGGGAAGGGCAGAGGTAATTTACTGTGTTTTCCATGTTGTCATGGTAACGCCCTGCACTTGGTTTGCATTTCCATCTCATTACATAAAGTAAAGAGATTCTATTGTTTGAAAAGGGAGGAGATGCTAATACTAAATAACAGAGTAATCTTAAACTAGAAAACCTTTTATTTTTTGTTTTAAATGCAGAATAAAATAGAGGGCCACGACACACAGGACAGCTTCCTTTATAGGAGAGTCCTGGATGATGTCTGCATCCTTTCAAACTCTGAATCAAGGAGAGAGGAAACTAAAACACAATGTCTCAAAGACGTTATTAATGGTTAATTCTGGGCTTTTCTCTGCAGGACAAATCAGAGACATACAACCATGCATGCATGTACTAACTAGAGGGTGGCCAAGGGACTTGAAATAAATGGTTTTTAATTAGAGAGAGACAGAACATACACAAAGACTCTGAGAACATGCAAACTCCACATAAAACACCCTGGGCTGGGATTTAAACTCAGGGCAGTCTGACTGTAAAACAACTGTGCCAACAACTACACCAAACACTCAAACTATTTCCCCTAAAAGCCCAGATAACTGGTCATCAGGAACCGTTTAGAATATTATAACAATATCTAGGTCCTTGGACGAAAAATGTGAACAAGAGTGAATCCAGAAGCATTGTAAACAACATTTATGGATCTAAAAAATGTAAATTTATTTCGTGAATTGTCTATAGAAATATGACACCTTATACCACTGGTGCTTCCACTGCTCTGCAGGATTGCAGGTATTGACACCACATCAACAAAAAAAGCCCCTAAACCTGCAGATTTACTGCTGAGTTTAAGCTCTGCATCAGCAAACTGCTGAAATGATCAATCCTCAGTCCTTAACACATACAAATGATACGAGGCTATTGCAGTCCATCAACATCTTCAGAGCTTTTCAACATAGAAATAAATATTAAAAGTAAAGTCAGTTGTTTCAAAAAATCTGTCAGAGATAACAGGTCCAGGTAGGAGAAAGCAAAATTTGTTGTTTTTTTTAAACAGGGAGAAACTAACAATGATAGATTTCCAGTGTTGTGGACAGCGACCTGAAACAGGGGTCAAAGTCAGAAACAAGGACTACGGGGAGAGAGAGGAGCACAAAAACCCCCACTGTACACTGTTTGTGATTCAGGGATGGAGCATAATGTGGGATTAGTCAGTGATTGAACTGAGTGGAGGAGGAAAGCCATGGAGGACACAGTGACAAATGATGACAAATACCCCTCTCTCTGATTTTGTTATTTTTTTCCCCAAACCGCTAATCCTTATCTCACTTTCTTCTGTTTTCCAGACCAACAAGGCATCAGCTCAGGGGGATTTTCAGGGAGCCAACATAGCCTCCCGCCAGGCGCTGTGGCTCTCCGTGCTGTCCATTGTGTTCGGAATCATAACGTACATCTGTGCCATTGCTGCGCTGATTTCCTACCTGTCTGCTAAGCCATTATAAGAGAAACTCTTTGCACTTGGATGCAAAAACACAAAGAGACAAACCCTTCATTAATATTACCACATTATCTGTAAGATAATAATAAACGAGAACTCGAGAGACATCCTCCACATTGAAGTTTGTGTCTAGATCACTGACAAATTTGTGCTTCCCGGATCATCACATGTGGGGCTTTAATAAAGATTAATGCAGGAAAAGGATGGAGAAGATGGCTGCTGTAATTTGAAGTCTGCAGATTTATCAGAGTTAGAGGGAACTCCTGATGGCTTTCACTCATCCAGCACCGTCACTTACCTGGAAAAAGTTGGAGACATGCACATCCCATCTGGATTTTCCAGTTAACGTCACCTGTTGTTTACCTGCAGAAAGGACTGCCATTTTTTGTGATTAAAAGCCAAGTTTTATCTCTATGACATAAGCTGAGTGCCGTATATATAAAAGGAAACTAATGTAAGAAGTGGGAGAATTTTGAAACACATCCCGAAATGGGAGTAAAGAAATTGCTGCTGGGAAAATTGAACAACCCAGTGGGGGAATAGTGCCAAAAATGTTAAAGTGACCAGACTGGGGAGTAAATATTTCTGATATTTCTTCGTTCTGTCAAACAGGAATGAAAACACTTTGGAAATAATTTCTTCAGGCTAAAATCATTGAAAACAACTTCTCACCTGTTTAGATGTAGAATATTAGTTTGAAAAAAGGTAAGAAAAAACACTGGGAACAGCTGATGTGACAAGTTGTTGTCTGCATGGCTCTTTTGTGTTTTACAAATGTTTAAAGCTGGATCTGTGTCATTAATGTGTGCCAAGTCCTTGCAAGGAAAGGTTTGATAAACCCTAAAAAAACATTATCTCGCCATATTGGTTTAATCATAAGAACTATTTAAGGAAAGAGTGAAAGAACATTTTCCAGTAAAAATTAAATAATATTTTTACCTGTTTCTGCAATAGAATGGTACCACTGTGGTTGCTTTAACAAAACATAGGAGTGATAACCAAATCAGTATGAAATCAACCTTTAAATGTCTTAAAGCCAAGACTTTCTGAGCTGACTGGAGCAGCCTGCAGACGAAAAGGGCCAGATTTGGGTCAGATCATGAGGGTCATGGTAACAGAAAGAAAAAAAAAAGGTGCATTGCTCCAGACAGGTTCAGACTGAGACACTTCCTAAAGCACTTTGTGTTTCTGCCTAGAAATAGGCCGCATGGAGCGAAACGTTTAGATGGATTTGGCCAATATGCACAAAAATCCGCCAAATGTAAAAATCCAAGCAGGAATAAAAACAATGCTGTTAAAGCGGTTGAATTTCTTTATGATCATTGTCAATAACATTGTTTTCTTTAGCTTCAACTTCCACTGCAGTGTCCATCATGCTTTGGGGCCCCCTAAACAATAGGGGACTCTCATAAATGCCTGAATTTAAAATAAGAGATATTCATTTCATATGTTTGATTTTTGAGAATAAGAATACTGTTAAATGTATTTGATGCTTTCAGCAAAAACATATTAAGAGATTCCAAACAAATATTTAAATTTTAAATTCAAAGGAGTTTTAAAGCTTATTTGGTAAAAGTCCAAAGGATAACCTTTGTTTGATGGTTGATAGTAGTTAAAATATTATGCTGTGGATTTAAAAATTTCTTTATGTTTGAGCTTGGTTTATTCACTAATGCATATCAGCAAATAATAACCAACTATTTATCACTGCTTTTATGATACTCCCATTAAAGTTTGCTCTCTCCTAGGTGATATTCTATACAGTAAGGACCCCAAACTGGACCATCCATGATTTAGATCAAACACTTTGATGAAAACTATTATGAGTTAAAACAATTTTTATTTTCCCTTTGGAATTAAAAAAGTACTTTAATTTTGAATTGAATTGAACATCCTTTCTTCTTAAGAAAAACTGACATCACAGCCTTGTTAATGCAGTTTGACTTAAAAACAATGAAGTGAAACTGCATATTAATTGTTACCTACATAAAGAGCTACATTTATTTTTAACTTTAACTTGGTTTAATGCTGCAGAAATGTGAACATTTCTCAGAGCTGTAAACAGAGCTGATGGCGGCCCACCGTGGTTAGTTATACTTTATGGGAAGACATGCAGCATTCCACATGAGATATGCGCAAGTTCACAGGTTTCAAAAATAAAGGTAGAGTGAAAGAAATAACTCACGCATTAAAAAAAAAAAAACTACTCGTAAAAAGGCTGCTTGAATGTTGAGTGGCTGTTCATATCTGATATTTTATTGTAAAAGTTATTTTTAATGATAAAAATATAAAATTGTTAGCAAATTCTGGTACTGTAAAAACCAAAAAAGAAACCATACAAAATAACTTATTTATGGAGAAAAAAAACATTTTCTGAATATTTTTGAGGGAGTTAATACTTTTTTTTTAATCCTTCAATTTGATTATAATTTGTTCAATTATTTAGTACATCGTTATATTAATTAATGATAAATGCATACTTGATTATGTTAAGGCAACCTTAGTCTGGCCCATATGCCCTGTATGATCAGTGGCCAGTCCAGCCCTTGCTGTTAACGAGGTTTATTATTACAATGAATATTATTACTTCATCATATCTATATCTGTTCTCCAAAATGCTATCCTTTTTGTGCCACATTTTAACCTTGTGCTGTGAAAGTATTTTCCCTGATGCACACATGGTTACTGACAGGTTTATCAAACACTGACCTCAATGGTACCAAATTGTTGTGGAACAGCCCAGAGTGCAACCAAAATGTATTAAAAAAAAAAAAAAACTACTGTGAGGGAAAAGCCAATATTTTCTACTTTGCTGTACAGTTTTTATAGAGGCCACTTTCCTCCTAAAGTTATCATAAACACACTCTTTCCTGCTGTCCCAGGGTTTATTAAGACTGTTAAATGTTGTCACCATACTCCGAGTTTAACTCTTTATTACAGCTATTCCATCTCTGATCACTTTCTGCACACGGCATTGACCATAAACGGAGCTGAATTGTTATACATCTCCACAGAATATCTACACTAAAAAGCAAACCATCCCATTGATGTTTTTGTGTCTTCTAGCAAGGAAATAAATGTGCATCACCCAGACAGAGAAGCTGCCAGTCTGTGGGGTCTGGCTTAATTATTTCTTATTTTGTTTAAGCTGAATAGGTAACAGGAAGAAGGAAGGGATACATTCATAGAATTTTAGGGATTATGATTCACATTTGGAAAACACAATTTATGTTTTGTTGCCAGTGATCACTATCTTGCAGAACAGCTGTTTGCATAACACCACCTTCATCTTGCTCTTGCTGTTTTATACCTTATTAAGACGGAAACTGTTCGGCAAAAAAGGCAGATCTGAAAAGTGTTAATGGGAGGTCTGATACCATAGGCATTCATTTTTTTAACCCTTCACCATTTGTCTTATGGTATTTACAAGGCAGGATGTAAAGAAAATATGAATCAATCTCTAATCAGCATTTTACATGTACAAGAAATTTGCTTAGATAAGGTGCTTTACGGACAAGCAAATACAAATATATTTGGAATAAACAAATGCAGTTCTGTGGGATATTTATGAGAATAGAGAACAAATCAAACAATTCTGCAAAGAGGAAAAGCACGATGGCACATATTAAAAATATAAGAATGAACTAAATGCATTCTTCAGTCAAAAAAACTGGTGTCTCCGAGTTGCATTGAGAAATTTCTATTATGAACATGAGTATGATGTATTTTCAGAGTCAGATTTCCAAATTTTGAAAATAACTATAACGTAATTGTTTTATCCAACTGTTAGCTAAAGATACATCCCAAATGATTCCCTCATCCTCTCACATGTATCGCTATACGTAGGTTAATTATTCCCTTTACTAAGTGGTTCCCAAACTTAACTGGCTGGACCCAACTTTGGTTTTAAAAAAGTGTTCATGCCAACCCCCCCATCCAGCCCTTCAAACATCCCTACTAGGGGTGAACAATAATTTAGTACCGTATCAATATATATTGCTGCACAAATTTATTCGTTAAAGGCGATATAAAATGTATTATATTGCAATATAGAAAGCAGTCTATAAATACAGTGTTTGTCACCAATTGAAATTATATTTTATTTTCAAAGCAAATATGTCTAAAATGCCATATTGGCATTTTTTAAACTCAACTTAATCTTCAAATGTAGTTAAGAAGCATCTGTAGAAGGCATTCTTGGCAGCTCTTTTGATCCCCTCATTTTTTACATTGATAATAAAAGTATTGTATCAACCGAAAACAAGAAATATATTATGATATAATGTTTAGCCATATCATCCAGCCATATGTTGAACAAAGAAACTGCAATTAACTACATATTACAATGAAATAAACAATGGCAAAACTAACAGCTTTAAAGTTTCATAAATTTAAGGTTAACCATTTATTATAGTGTTTAGTAGAACTCAAGGTGGCTCAAGGTTACACTGGGCCCCTGCCTTAACTTGCAGATGCCTCTCCTTGTAGCTGATTATTCCTACTGGGCTTGTTAAATGCTTGCCAGTGAGGACCAGTATCCTTCAACTTCTGACCCCACTTCAGTACACCTGAACTACGTCTGTCTCCTCACCAGGTCTTTAGTTTTGACTGATGGCTGCTAAGACCTAACAACGTATTTATTTGGTTCAGCTGTGTTGAAGAACAGTATTTATAACATGCTGAACACTAGCCTTCATAACTGCACATGACACTTAAGGACTAGAAGCACTTTTAAAACGTAGAATATAATTCAGGCTTCTCCCAATGGAAGACAGCCTGCATTTGGTTCCTGATTTACTTATGTATTCAGTTTACTTAAGTTGTGAACTTAATTTAGGAAAAAATGTAATACATACATCTGAGCTGCAGATATATAAAATACATGATATATAAATGACTGCACTGAAGTACAGTTAATGTTTAAAGCCTAATTCTCAACCTTAGGGGGTAGTCCAATTGATTTTTCTGACTTTGATTTAGAAAGTTATGAGTTTAAATATAGAAGTGAAATGTTCCCCACCGCGAAAGTGTCTTTCACTTCTTTAGGCATATTGACATAAAGGCAGATCATATCATAATACGTAAATAAAGATTTTTTATTGACGTTCTTGCTCAAATAATGCTAACAATACATTCCTGTAAGAGAAATATCCTTTTTTACATGTCATTATTTTATACCACAGCAGCACATTAATGGATTTATGTAACATACATCTTAAGCATAATTTAAAGGAGATGTTGATGGTCTTGAATGTGCTGTACAATGGGCTAAGCTGGGGCTTAGGTCCCACATTTAAATTCTGTATGAAGGCCTAATAAATCCCTGGGCCAGATCTGCTTCCATGTGTTAACTGTGAATATTTAAGTGAAACATCAACAAATGAATCAATGAATAAATGCACTTAACACCACTTCATCCTTTATTTATCTTTTCTCAATCTGATTAAAGTGTGTTGACAAAGTGTGTCCACATGTCTTTACACCTGAGCTGAATGAAGATAGCCCAATGGGGTAAGTGGTTGCTGAATATTTTATTGCAGTCTTTATATCAACTTTATACAAAAAAGTAAAACAAGAAGAAAAAAAAAGGGGGGGGGAGTGGGCAAGAAGCTTGAGATTGGATTAGAGGTTCTTGGAGTACCGCCGCCTCACTGAGTCTCTGTAGAACTGGAAGATCTTCTCCGATGCTTTCTGACTAATGGCTATACACTGCTGCAGCTGTGGAAGAATGCAAAAGTCAGATGGCACCATACACAAATCTGAAGAATATGAGGAATACTGCGTAAAAGACAACAAACCTCTTGAACTGAAAACGAGCCTCGGGTTGATGACATCATTACTCTGTGTTCTTTGCTGTCGATGGCAAAAGTCATCAACGCTCGACTTTCCTAAGGAGAATTTTAAAAACAGGATGAGTGCTGTTTTTTGTAAAACAAACATGTATAGAACAAGTAACATCAGAAATAGAGCTCTGCTAAATCTGAGTATTAGAAACTGCCACACCAATTCGTGCCAACAAAGTCAATAGTTTCTAAGTAATTGGCACATAGAATTTAATTGGTGACACCATTGAAACAAAATTGTCTCAGTCTATATGAACAATTGTGCATTGTAGCTAATTTTATTTTCGGTTATTTAAATTTCCGAACCCAAATAAGTCAAAAAATCTGTTTCTGTTTGTTTTATAACATCCAACAGCACCTTACTATACCATCTGTGTGTCCCTATTCTGCATTGAAAACTTGAGAGCCTTTTTGGTGGCTGACTGAAACACACCAATGGGGAGAGAATGACAGCCTAAACATAATTATATTCATGTCTTAGACAACGTTTATTACTCTCAAAACATTGGCGGCCCTACTCGTTCTTGTCACCATACTCTTTAGCTATGCTTCTCAGTGGAGAGACAAATCCTCCAAGAATGTATCTTGTCTAACCTTTTGAATTGCTTTTAGGTATAATTGTGATTGACGATATTGATATAAATTTATTTAAGTAAAACTATTATACTATCTGCTCTACTGAATATGTTACAGCAGTGGACAACAACTAATTTCTACTACCTGAAGAGTAGTAGATTAGCAGGGTAGCAGTAATCACTCAGTAATCAAAATTACCACTCAGTGGTTAACTTCTTTATCAGTCTCTAATATCACATTAAAGGAACTGTGACCCACTGTTATCCACAATATTGCTTTATTTTATTGAGGTTTATAACATTTTGTTACATATGAGCTTTGTTTCACAAGAGCTTTTTAATCAGATCAAGATAGGGAATTTGAACTAGCGATTGGAAGTTCTCAGCCATTGTGTTGCAGGTTTATAGTTGTTTCTGGAGTCATTCTGTTGATGACTCAGTGGTGTCACATTTAATAAAATAATTTATTGATGTTTTTAAAATAAGCTCAAATCATCATCCCTCCCCTTCTGTGCTTAACAGCTAATCTAGGTTTTTTTTTACTGAAATGTTATCATTGATTTATTTTTTAGAAACCTGCAATGGTCTGGAACTGTTATGCAATTAACTTTTACATTTAGCATGGAAACTGGGGCCTTTAGATTCTGAAATTATTTGTTCATTTAAGGTCTGAGAGAACATGGGCACCACCCTCTCCTTGAAAGAATATGCTGTCCTTAAGGTGTCCATTGTTATGAACACTTGATTAAATTCAATTCAAAATTACTTTATACTATATACTATAATTACTTATATATTATTTAAATAAATGATGTTAGTATTTTAGTTTTAACGAATTAATGTCAAATTAAAATAATTATTTCATAAATTATTTATTTATTTATATTTGTAATTTTCACCCTCCATACTGTATTAATTCTGTATGGGAACTAAATGTAACTACTATACGGTTCTGTTTATTTTATATGTTAAAAGATTTCTGCATGAAGGATCTCCTGTAGCGGTCAGAGGATCTGGGGGTGCCTTTGACTGAAGCCCCTATGTTGTAATTATTGTTCAGCAGTCTAAATGTTATATCCTGAGACATTAGCCCGTGGATATAAATCTGTGTTCACTTTTATTTTTTATCTATGAGAAGTTTAAAATACCAAAATCGACAAGTTAAAAGCTAAAACAGTTTTCATTAGATAGTTTTCCATCCAACTAAAACGTCCATTGAAAATCTAGCATGTGTTTAAGCTGAGCTTGAATTGTTTTTCAATGCTTTTCAGAGGTTTTGACTTACCTTCTCCTGAGCTGCAGTTGGGTCTGTTATGATTTCACCTTCTGTACTGATGGCACAAGTCACTCCACAAAACAAGCAACTCATAGACAAGCCTGCATCCATCAGGGCCATGCAGGCTGCATTTAGACAGCAGGACAGGAGCTGACCAGAAGATAAGGAACAAAAGCAAACCAGTACCACAGCAGCAGATTTACCTTCATACCAAACACGAATGAAGAATCTTTTTTCTAAAGGATACTGATCCAGCATCGTGTAGCACTTGTAGGATGAGTGTGAGCGAGGAACGAGGATGAAGAGATAAAAAAAGAGATGCCTCACAGGTTTCGCGTACGCACTGCTCCTGGGATCGTTCCCTCACACCTAGAAATGAAAAAGAAAAGAGTGTAGCAGGTTCCTCCTTGTTGAAAGTAGGAGTAAAGCAGCTTTTTTGTTAAAGAAAAGACAGTGAAATATGAAAATGAAGCTCACACATCTGGATTTAAAGCTTGAATATTTCCTTTTTTTATTTCTGACTGTAGAATCATATCTGAATGAGGTCAACAAATAGCTTTAAGGGTAAAATGAAGTCAACTGCTTTCTGGATCATTTGCAAGTCACCTAGTAATAAACTATTCATATAACTGATTTAAGCTGAACCAAGGAAACATTGAGAAAACAGAGAAAAACAGCCCTTCTCCCTAAGAGGGCTGGATTCCACTTATTAAGACCAGAGCTGAAAAACATGAATTATTGAAAATTCAGATGCAATGTATGAATAACCTCTGGCTTTGAACATTTAATGTAACCAAATCAGTTGTTAATTGATTAGGAGAGAAGTTCCAGCTACTTTTATTAGAATCTACATTTACATTTAATGAAATATGAAGGAATTACCAGGAAGTCCAACTTTAGGATAAACTAGGACCTCCAGGGTTGCTCTGTCATAGATCTCTTTGCTGACTTTCACCTCAGCGGGTCCGTACACTCCAGCCATCACACTGGTATCGCCTTTAAAGAAGAGCAAAACAGAGAAAAAAAAAAAAAAATCTGATATTTTTCCATTCTCAAATATTATGATTATGATTTAAGGCTTGGACATTTCATTTCATGTACATCTGCTCATATAAGAAATCAGAGGTTTAGCAGTAGAATAGATGGCTTTTTCCAAAAGAAGAGCAGAAGAAGAAAGGGTGCAACAGAAGCATGCTGCCACACAGGCAGAGCTCGCTGTGTGCTGGCAGCAGGTTGGTGTCAGATGCTAAGGCCAAATGTAATGGACTGAAATCATATTGCTTGTTAAGTCATATCAAAAGCCTCGGTCTCAAATAGAAATCCATGGACCCAAAGGCAAATTATTGGGCAATTTATTGTAAAATGATCCGCCTAGGACACTTCAACAGACAGGCTCTATAACTTTCACACTACATTATCTACATTTCCCAAACAAATGTTGGTGGTTAAGTTAAGATTTCGCTTTCTGAAAGACGAGATCACTATTTTCCTAAGTGAATCAAATAAACTTACCTACTTTATAATTTTTATAAACATATACTCTCTTATTGCAAATGTATTGCTTAAAACATAACGTAGTAACAGAGAGACAACTTGAGTTAAACGGTCTTTCAAAGACGTGGCCCGTTTTTAAGTCAGGATGGGGAAAGTAATATTTGTACTTTTACCTTGAACAAAAGAGGCCGATCCATCCGGACGAGAGAGTAAGGTCTGTTCACAACCGAACTCCCTGAGAGAAACATTTTCAGAAGGAGAGACTTCCATCATGCTGCTTTCACGGTGGAGACTGTGACTGTCGCAGCTAAATGACGTCATTGTTTAGTTTTTTTTCTCTTATTTATTTAAACGCAACATTTTTTCATCTATATCATAACAAATAGCGTTTTTAAAAATAAGAAATTCGAGTGCTGACATTTATGTATCTTGTGCCTCTCTAGATTCTCACAAAAAGTTAAGAATTTAAGACGAAATTTATATTTCTTCGTTTAATCTTATGACGACTTGCATACTATTTAATGGCGCTTTACCGCCACCAAGTGGTTAGGATATATAAAGATACCCTCTTCAAATCCAATGGCGAAAAGGCGGTCTATATCTTGAACACCAGGTATCAGTAAAAATAAATAGACAAATAAACAGCTTTTCTTCATTTTTAATAAAACATTAGGAAACACAAGACAGTACAGAGCAATACCATGTAGAGCAATGAAAACATACCCGAGAATAAAAACTGCCATAAGTTTAAAGTTCACGAGTTAAATGTCTTATAGTTTTAAAATACTATTTAAGCTTATTTAAATATTAACAAGAGTGCTATTTTTTGTTTATTTAAGCAAAGTTTGTGAATATGCTAAGAGTAAGGAAGTAAACTTTTTTGTGTATGTGTCACAGAGATAAAAGCCCAACAACATAAAGAAAGATAAGAACATACTAAAGCATGAAATATAGAATAACATGAAAACAATATATTGAAATACAATATGACAAATTAACATTGAATTATCAGAGTTTATAACATATCGGATTTCTCCATAAAATAAGAACTAACTACACATCTAACTTAACTTCTGCCTCCAAAAGTTGAACAGATGCAATTCAAAATCATAAATGAAATATATCCAAATAAAGCAGTTTTTTTCATCAAAATGTAAGTTAGGAGGCCCAAGGGGAGACCCAGAACATGCTGGATGGACTATGTTTCTCGGCTGGTCTGGGAGCGCCTTGGGGTTAGGAGGAGCTGGCCCAAGTGGCTGGGGAGAGGGTCATCTGGGCCTCCCTACTCAAGCTGCTACCCCAGCGACCTGACCCCGGATAAGAGGAAGAGGATGGATGGATGGATGGATGGATGGATGGATGGATGGATGGATGGATGGATGGATGGATGGATGGATGGATGGATGGATGGATGGATGGATGGATGGATGGATGGACATTTATTCTTTTTTGTGAACCAAATTTTAAATTCTAGACAGATTTCGACAGTTGGCAAGACCAAAAGAACATTGTTCTGTCTTCATTATCTGATATTTGACATCTGATTTTGGTTTAGGCCTTTATTTTAAGTCTCTGAGACTGGTGAAATCTAAAAATGCAGTCAAATTATCATCTTTGTTTTGACTTAATTTAATATTGCATTTTTATTTTAGTTTATATATATATATATATATATATATATATATATATATATATATATATATATATATATATATATATATATATATATATATATAGTCATATTTCAAATGCTCCAAGTTTTTGATGCTTACTTGCAAATGTGCCTTTGGAATCTTATTTTATAGCCTTTATTTTAATTTATTGCTACCAAACGGTTATTTTGTTTTACTGTAATTGCTCGTATTTTTGACAGTACACTGTCTATGGGAATTTCTGTCTCTAGCTGTGTCTATGCCTGGGTTCTGAGGTCTATCCAGATGGAACTCTCACAGTGGTCTGACTTGATATGTTTAGATGTTGAAGTGATTTGAAATGCTATATATATATATATATATATATCTATGTATATATATATATATATATATATATATATATATATATATATATATATATATATATATATATATATATATATATATATATATATATATATATATAGAGAGAGAGAGAGAGAGATGGCGCTTGACAGTAATTCAAAAGTATAAACTGGATAAAGATGTACATTTAGGTCTATCTGTTTTCTACTTTGTAATTTTTGCACACACACACAAAAAAAATCATCCTCCCTTTACGTTACTGTCGAAAATCGTCTTCAACTGACGTAACGCAGTCCTTAAATATTCCTGTCGAACTTTGCAGGGTCTCTTTTCTCCGCCCGCTGAAGCTGACGGTGGAAGTAGATGCAATGGGTGAGTTTTAAGCTGCGTTTTAAACTCGATGTAAAAAGGGAGACCCAGATCCGCTAATGTTAAGAGCACTCGAAATAAATACACATTCGAGGTATTGTGAAAAATGTTTTTTGTCTTTGACTTCCTATAGTTGGCACAGTTAGCATTAGAGAGCTAGCTGCTCACAGCTAATCATGGTCTGATTTTATTTTAGGCTCGTTTTTAGGGCCGCAATCTTCGAAATAACTCCGAATTGTGTTATAAGGAATCATTATGTGCCTTGTTTAAAGCTGTAATAATTTCTAGCCCATACTTTAAAATGTTTTATTTCCAGGATAACACGTGGCCAGGCTGCGGATCGAAACCCGGATCTAACCGTTTAAAATTAATATTTTCCATCAGTGCTTAAAGACACGATTGACTAATAATCATCCCCGATTAAGAAACATTATCTTACGTTATTATGGGGATCAGTTTGTCAAATTCTAATCCTAGTGGATAAAACACAGTGTGTCCAAAATAATATAAATGAGCACTGAGCATATTGATGCAAACCAAAGATTTGTGTAGACTGAAAACCCTAATATATGGCGGTCAGTAGGTTTCCCCGTTAACCACATCCTGCTCTTGTTCATCTGGGATTCTCCAGCTCTGTGGACTAATTCCAGGGCAGCAGTGGTGAGAGAAATGTCAGGTTTTGCTTTCACATCTGCAGTATTGGTTGCAGAAAAGTGACAATGAGGCCTGAGACAGTAATTATGCATGGATTCCATTGTTTCTGTTTTAAAACTGCTTCAAAGTCTTACTAAAATACAACATTGATATCTAAAATGTGTACAAGCACACTAGAACCAATGCAAAAAATAAACTATTTTTGGTTTTCCTCTTATAGGGAATAAACCAGAACTGGACCATCATGCCAATGAATCACCCAGTCACTTGGTGGTGAACTATTTGGAGATCTGGTATGTAATTGGTTGTATTGCCTACTAATTCGTTCTCTTAAAAGCTTAAACTCTAGATTACAGCCCCACTGTGGCACTCTAGGGATAAGTTTGTATTTAACATTAGATCCAGCTTGCATAAAGCACAGTGTGAGCTCTAGTCCTGTACGGTGGGCTGCAGAGGTCATACGGTGCACAAAGGAACCATTTCTCTTGCAACCCACTGCTGTCAATCTTCCGCAGCAGTGTTACTAATGAGAAGTTACAACTCTGAGCTCTTTTTGTTTAGATGAATCCAAAAGAAACTGAGTAATTTCTCTTTTCAATAGGTGCCCTGGATGACCTCACAACTCCTGGGTAAGCCCTGTTTATAAAGCAGACAAAGTTTCTGAGTAATGATGAATGGCTTGATATGTTCAACTGCTCTGAAGTGTGAATGAAAGCAGCCTTTCTGAACCTTTTGGAGGGAAAACTGGAAATGCTGTTGCACTGTGCTGCTTTGTCACATTAATCCTCCTTCTGCTCCATGCAGGTTCAGCCATCTTGATTCACTGATGTGAGGTGAGTAGTAAAAAAAAAAAAAAAAAAGTACATTCAGAGATTTGGGGCTCAGGTTGTAAATGAGTAAACTTTTCAGGAATGCTACAGTGACTGTAAGACTCACTAGATTCTGTTAAAAACCTAAAAAAGCCCGAACCTCACAATTTGATCACAGGGAAAATGGTCATTCGATTAGTAGTTGCATCCATAGTACAGCAGACTGAATCTGATTGGTGAGTGATTAAAATAAAACCCAGCATTATAAATTGAGGGAATGTTATGAAGCTTAATCTGCTTGTTGCTTTTTAGTTGGGCTCAAACAATTAATTGGATTAATTGTGAAATAATCATTAACTATTTCAGTAACTATTAATTGTAGTATAGCGACTCTAAAACGTGTCTTTAGCTGAAAGAGCAACCCACTTAGAGCAGTAATTATACTGATATTGTAAAATGTATAAACATTTTGAATTTAAGATCTTCTATCAATATGCTCTATCCAGAGCTTCTCAAGTGGAAACATTTGTTTCCATTGGTTTAATTTCACAGAACATCTTTATGTACCTTTGGCCATCAGATTATTAATCTGTAACATAATCAACAGATTAATCAATTCGCAAAATAATCATTGGTTGCAGTCCTACTTTTTAGGCCGGTTAGTGGCTCTGAAATCGGTCAGTTCCTTTTAACGTCTATGTGAATTTCTGTTCCTTGATGTCTCTGTCTGGGTTCTGAGGTCTATCCCGATGGACCCCTCACAGTGGGGCCTTGTCGTTGGAAATGCCTCAAAGAGCAAATCTGTAGCTATGCTTTACCCAAGTGTTCTCTGCTGTGAGCATTATGGGATACAGCTGCAAACACCTGCCTGTATTGAGCTGTATTCATTGGCTTATTTTCCCAGCATCGGCTATGAGCTTCGGTAAATAAAAGGCCTTCCCAATTTTCTTTTTCTGAATTTTTTTCAGATTGCATATCTGCTTGCTGTCAGATAAACATGTCCAACTTCAGAGTGCTACTTGGTCTGCATCGTGGTGCCAGGATGACTTGGTATGTAGAAATTGGTCAAAGTGGATTTTAAACTGAAGCACTGTGTGGTATCTGCAGCCAGCTGCTTCACCAGCTGGTATGTTCAAAAGTCAGTGCTAAAGTAGCTCAGCTTCTGGCATCGTTGGTCTCTATGCTGCCTGTGTGTGGAGTCCTGGTATTTTAGCTGAAACATGTTCATCTCTGATGGCCAATAAAGACTTCAGAGGTTTTTGCTTAATGGGTGGGTCCCTTTGTTTGGTGATGAGAACAAATCCATGGCAGAGTTTAATTGTGCTTTTTCCTGTTCAGCATTTGGATGTAGCAGCTGCCTGAGTCGTAGAAGCTTGGGGTGTTAAGGTGAGATTTTTTTTTTTATTGTATGTGTTGGTGGGGAAGATTTCTTCAGCACTGTGGTATCTGCAGCCAGCATGTTTCATCAGCTGGCTGTTTAAATGACTGTGCAAGAGAAATTCAGCATAAGGCATTGTTGGTCTCCCTGCTGCTCATGTTTGGAGTCCTGGTATAATGTCTGAAACAAGCTGTCTGGAAAAGGACAGATAAAAAAAAAATTGATTTATTTTTCTGACAGTGGGTGTATTTGTGTTTTTCCAGGGTCCAGCTGAAGCAGATTGCCTGAGACTGATGCATGGTGACTCTTCGTCTGCATCTGAGGTCAGTTTTTCACCTGAAATCTAATGACTATATCCCCCTACTGATTTATCCCCATTTCCTAAATTAAGTCTTTACCTTGTATGCAAAAGTAGATTTTTTTTTTTTTTTTTTTCATAAACTGTTTTTATGTTTGGTGTTTAAAAGTAGAATGTGAAGCTTTTCTGTATGTTTGGTCATATACCAAGGCTTTCAGGATCTCATCTTCCTGCTTTGCTGTGGACTTGACCAGAAATTAAACCATCCCAGTAGGCCTCTGCAGCAGTGTTTGTAGAGAACCTATTGGGAACATGTAAAAGTGAATTAACTGTCCTAAAGTGTTACATCAACAGTACAATTGTCTGTCTAAATGCTGAACTTTCTGTTTATATTTCAGATGCAGACTGAGACAGATGCTGACCAGCTGATGGATGTTGGTGCTCAAATGTTCAGTTTTAATTTCAGAATCAAATGATGACACATTTTTTGTAAACTTGATTTTATAGGGGTTATCCTTTCCTGTACCATAACTAATAAAATTCTAAAGCCTATTCTGTTCTCTCATTTTGTAATTATTTTTCATGTGTTTTCTTGCTTTTGAGTTTAAAAGTGAAACTGGAAGCTAATTGTGGATGTCTCATCCTTAGTTAAAGCAATACTATATGTTGGAATTTAGGGATGTTTTGTTCCATGTGGTACGCCATGAGCAATATGAACTTGAACCACATGGTTTAATTAACAATGTTGAATCCTATAAAGATATCTGACTTGGCTTGTAAAGGAAAGTGCAGTTTAACAAGTGCAACTAAATGGAGTTTACACTAATGCGGTACATGTCCCTTATTTGGTAGACAATTGGAGGAAACTGGGAACAGTTGCCTTGGTTAGTTCCCCTTCCGTCCACAAGGGGGCGCAGGCTCTCCACGAATAGAGCAGATGGCCATGTTGCTCTTAAAGATAAGGAAACCAGGCTAATTGGGGATTTAACTTGGGGTTGTTTACAACTGGATGTTTTTACGAAGGTGTTCCTCTTAACCACAACTTCAGAGCGTTAAAAGGTGAGTTTAGGACACGAGTTTGTAGATTATTTTTAAGGGTGTCTGCATTCCGCTGCTTGGTTCCGCTCTGTGGTTCAAAACCAGAGTGCTCGATGTAGTAAAGTTTTTAAACCTCTATTTAGATCAGCATTGGATGCCAAGAACCTCTAAGATTACCACACAGAGACCTTCCTGTGGCTATAATTATTTATGGGAAACTAATGTGGCTGATTTCATAACTTAAGGAACAGTGGGACATTTTCCTTTAAAACGTGTCGTTCTAAATGCGTGAGAAGTCTTAAAATGGTAATTTTACCGTTGTAATTGGGTTTTAGAGTTGTGTGGCTAAACGGTTGACTGAACTAAAGTAAATGGCATTGATCATGGAAGGTTTTTTTTTTTTTTTTTGCAGTTTCACATGTTTTACGGCAAGCTGTTGCCATGGTATATGGAGAAAGTTACTTTTCACTGCATTCCAGCAGACACATTTCAGAGCAGAAAAATCTGTTTTCAAGACCAAATCTAAATGTTTAAAACAATTTATACTGCACTTTCCATCAAAAGATCTCAAAGAACTACAGGTAAAAAGAGAAAAGCATGAAAAAGATTTTTAAGAAGGGAAAACTTCTAAAGGGGACCAAAAGCTTTGCTGAAAATTTTTTAGGCCTTTAAGAGGTCTGAAATTTTCTGCATTTGTGGTTGACATCATGTAGAACAAATTTAATGCAATGAAACCTGCTTTTTCCAGAATGGCTTTATTACTGCTGTTCAAATAAGACATTTAAAAAAACAACTTTGAGTCATGTTTCAGCTGATGCAGCTTGGTCTGTGCTCTACTCACCCAATTTTAGTTTATATATTCAGAAACTAGATGGTGTTAGCTTTCACATGTAATTTGGGCTTACAGTTCCTAAGTTATTTGCTTTTCCATTTGGGTATGCAAAATAGGCTTTTACCCTTGATTTTTGTCCTTTCAATATTAATAAGTATGTAAAATAAATTAAACCATTACTATTTAATTTTCCTGATTTCATCTTGATATTTCTCTTTTTATACATGAGCTGGGAACGTCCCCAGATGTGGTTTCAGAAATCTGGTCACCATTGTTGCACATACATTTTCAGCTAAATAAGGCAAATTTACATTTACGTCATCAACAATCATTATGTACATTAAAAAAAAAACATACGTGTGAAAAAACTAATTAGAAATGTAAGAACTATAATTTTGGGATTTTTGCGCCTAATGAAAGCCAGTTGGACTGATGGGAACTGGTCGCCATCTTTAATAAGACCAGTTGAGGATACAGTGAGGCGTTGGTGAGTTTTCTTAACAAACTTTTTATGTATTTTTGTTGATGTTGAAACATGGTTTGAAGTTTATGAGAAGTTAAAACAACAAAATTGGTTTACGTTTCGTTTTCTACTAATGCATCATAGCTATTTATTAGTTGCTCGTAGCAGTCTGCAGACGCATGCTATTTTCTTCCTCGGCTGTATCGTCTTTTTATTCATTTTTCTGCAAACCCCGTTACCAAATACCCTTTAGTTGCAATAAAATACTAATCATTGATTTTTATTGGTATTTTTTATATTCAGTGTGTGAGTAAAGTGTTTTCATTTAGACCAAAAAGAAAAAAAAAAGATTTGCATTCAGTGTCGCTAACTGGATGATTTGGCTGGTCAAAGTGGTAACACTGGTTAATTGAAGTTCTGTATGTGGTATTCTGTCATAAGTAAACCTAAATCGTAGTTTTGCTATTGTTCTCAAATTCTTTCTTCTTGTTTTTTTTTTTTTTTCTTTTCGGTTAATTTGTTACATTTCTATCGGTGTGTTTGTTTTGTTAAACGTGTCTGAAGGAAAAGGACAGTAATAACTGCAGTTACGTCTCTCGTCCTCCAGAGGCTGCTCTAGCCGTTGTTGTGTTTTTGCCGTCAAAGCTTTCATTCTAATCTATGAACGATTCTAACTCTTAAAACACAGACAAGAAGAGGATTGTACACAATAACATTTCTAGTTTAGTATAAAAGTGTATGTCTTGGAAAATGGTGGTTTATTCACTTATTTTTGCTTTTCGGCTTCCTATTGGTTTAAAGCCGAACATGTGACCAGAAATAAGCCGACGTGCTTATCTTATGTTGTCCTTTTTAGTCTAATGTGGCTTATGAACGTAGAATTAGAGCTTCATAACAATGTAGTTTGTTAGTAATCGCCCTCGTTTGCCGTTGCTGCTGGTTTTATTAGTTAAAGTATCTAAATGGTTTCGAACCATGATTTAAAATGAGGTGTAGTAGATTCATATGGTTTCCTCAGACCCATTTAGGTTATCGCTTCTCGGCCTTTTGGCTAAGATCAAGTGTAGTATCTGTTCTTATCAGTTTAATATCTGATACGTCCCCTACCCGGGGACCATATATTAAATTGATTTTTGGAACAGGGAGATGGAATAGGGGCTTGCTCCGTCCACTCCACGCATCGACCTGGTATTGCAGTACTTCCAGGAATGGTGCACTCCCCTCTACCTGTTAAAAACAAATGTAAGAAATGGATTTTATTGTTTTTGAAATGTTGTAGATTATGCAGGGTATGAGATTATGAATTTATCATCCATAAGTGACTTGGAAGGATTTTTACTGACATATTGCTGTTTTATTCTTAGTTTCTATGTTTAATGTAATGTCTATAGTTTATAGTTGTTCTTTCTACTTATTGACCTTAACACCTTTCTATAGTTTATTTGTAATCTTTCTACTTACCTTAACGCCTTTCTCTAAAATAGCGGTGGCACTTACGAAACTGCAAATCAATGAGCCAATTTGGCACAATTGACCAAAACTCGACACCTTTATCAACGTATTTTATAGTTTTGAATGGTAGCATCTGCTGGATGGCTATGAGAACTATATTACACTGGGTTTCCTAATGTCTGCATTATTTCGCGACTGAACTCGTTTGTTCCATAATAATTGTATTGATAATAATAGGCTATAAATTAATATTTAGAAGAAAAAAATATCTGACCTATGAAGCTGCAATATGATAAACAGCCCTTCTAAAGCATAACAGCTATGGGACAGTGTGGTCCTGTCACTATGCCTCTAAATTATAATGCGTCCGGGCTTATCTTAGAAAATTAAAAACAATCTACTGGACTTTGTTTCCAAGTTTGAAGAGGTTTTGCTTCCCATCCAGGAAGCTTTTTCAATTAAAATGTCAGGAATAGTGTTGAGTTCGAGGTTTTATACAGTAGCCCAACGAATCCTTGTTTTTGTTTGGCTTTGTGTGATGTAACGAGGCCTGGCTTGCAGCGGTCACATGATTGGGGTGCGCTTGAAACACCTCTCAGCGAGACACCTGTTTTATGAAGGTGGGAGCTGTGGCGAATGACTCAAGCTTAACATTGCTACTTTAAAGGTTATTTTCTAATTTGCTCAAAGTCTGAGTTACTTTATGCATCCGCAGCTTTTCTTCAACAGCTGCTTTCAGAAGAACATGGGAAGTCCTAAAATTCAGAGGTTGAATGCAAATGTTTCCTCTTTGATTGTAAGACAGGTTTGTTTGTCAGTCACGCCGTTTAATAGAATAATCTCTTGTCTCCTGGCTGCGCTTCAGCCTTGAAAATCCATGTCCTCTCCTGAAATATCCTCCCTCTCCTGGGGCCTGATGAAGGTGAAGGGATGCTCCTCCAGCTACAAGGACTGTAAGGTCTGGCCTGGAGGCAGTCGGGCCTGGGACTGGAGGGAGACAGGGACTAATGTAAGGAAAACCAGAACAACTGTACGCTGCTAGAAGTGGTGAAAAAGCCTCCTTAAAATGTTATTTTCCTCTTAGCACTACCCCGGGGTGCAACCGGCTGATGTGGAAGAAGTTCTGAAGAAGGGAATAGAGCTGCTGGTCATTGGAAGAGGCATGAGTGAAGCTCTACAGGTAAAAACATCTACAAGAATAAAGGTCCGTTCTTTTAACAAAACCAGACCTGTGAACACCACAAACACGTCTACAACGGCTTTAAGCCAATTGTAATGGTGGCTGGCGGTTCAGTCCTCCTCCTCCCAGATGAAACAGCAGGCTGGTGTTCATGGAAAATGCCCAGAACACCTGAACCCCACCTGTGCAGAGGCTCTAGGCATTTTCCACTCTGACCAAAAATAAAACTTGGCTCTAACACCATCTGCTAGTTTTTTGCTATTTAAAATAATATTTTGAGGAAAGTCGATTCCGTGTTTTCTTTGAAGTGTGCATGCAGCTCTCAATTTGCACCCATTTTTTATTGTGCACTTTATTAGGACTAAAAGTTTGGAAATTTTTTTGAAAAGTCAGAGTTTTGCTGCAATATTTGTTGAAAGATTAACTGTCTGAAAACATGTCAATAAAGATGCCAGACAATTGCTTTCTGACTTCAAGCATGAAAGATGAGTGATTTGTCTAGTGCTCATAACTTTCACCACAAGATGGTGCTGTTGTGTTCAGTAGCTCCTTGGAAATGTTCCAAAGCAAACCTTGGTGATATTAGCATTTACATATATGCTGAAACAAATTATGTCTTGTTGTAAAATATCTGTTAGCATCTAGTAAAGTCAGTAGAACCAAAGTGAAACAACAGCAGTGTGTCGATGGATTTATTTGCTGCAATATTTGAGCCGCAGAAGCCAAAAGAAATCAAAATAACCAGGATACTATATATTAATAGGATGTGTGGAGCTGAGCTGTGGTGTTAGAAAGATGAACATTACTTCCTGTTTCCTCTTCTCAGGTCCCGTCTACCACTCTGGACTTTTTGAAGCAGAAAGGCATTGAAGTCAAAGTTCTCCAGACTCAGAAGGCTGTGGAAGAATACAACAGACTGGCTGCCGAAGGTGCCAAGGTGGGCGGCGTCTTCCATTCGACCTGCTGAAGGGTCCTTCCCTCACCTCACCCAGCAGATTCCTCCTTACTGTAGACATATGTGGTGAGGCTGAAACGCCAAACCTTGCTGTTTGAATGATCTTTATTTTAGCTCCTCTGTAAACTTAGGAGAAAGCAGGAAAACATGAAGCCCTGAAACCATCTGGTGCTTCAGGCTTCTAAAAAGGAAATCATTTATAACAACCAATAGCAGCTCCAGTGTCTAAATCAGGTCCTATTTCTGTGTTTTATTTAAATAAGAGTTACAATGTTTAATAGAAATTAAGATTTGTGCCTTAGATTGTCTTTGTGTTTTTAGATGCATTAAAATAATTCTATGTTGAACTCTGGTGTCTTTCACTCCAAGTTCCCAGGACTACATAAGTCCGTACAAATGTTGTGAAGTGTATGATTTTGAGTGAAATTGTATTTCTGATGTTTAATAACAAATTAAATGAAGATTGGTTCCAAAAACAGGCTGCAAAGACACATTTCCATCTGCTTTTTAAAACGTTCAGGTTTGAAGTCTCATGGCTGTTATCGGCGGGCAGGTTTGGGCATGATATAAACTTTGACAGGCTTGCTGAAGGGAATCGTTCCTTCGACGGCGGCCTCTGCTGGTGGGAGGCCGTCGATGCTGTCGCTCCATCCTGACTTAATGCTTGAAGAGGGAGAGGATGAAGAGGAGCTGTAGGCCAGCAGGAGGCGCACCTCAACCTGTGATGGCTCTGGGTCAGGCAAAGACAACCTCAAGTTAGAATGAGGTGCTTTAAACATAAGTGTTTGTGTGTTTGCTGCACTGACCTGTCCAGGCCGTGTGGGAGAGGTAAACCTGGGTGATGAGCCGGTGTCTGTTCAGCCCAGGCTTTCTGAAGTCCGCAGGTTTGGGATGGATCACATGACTTTGACCGTCTGGATACAGGACCTTTAAACGGTCAGGAGTATTTATCAAAGAGCAGGTTATATTCTGGATTTCCAAGATGAAAGTTTAAATTTACAAGATCAACAGGAGTCACGAAGCTGAGGAACCTCACACACAAAGGTTTCTGGAGAAAAAGTGAGGATTGCTGAACTCAGCAACAGCAATGAAAGCTATAAACTTATTTTAATAGGATGCTTTAAAAGAAGAAAAAATTAAAACATTAAAAGTTTAAAAAAATAAATTCCTAGTGCTCATCTGTAAAACTTTAATTTCTAATAGTATAACAAATCAAACTTAGTTGATTTAGTTTCAGTCCCATCACCTGCAAAAATCAACAAAAACCCTACAATGTAATTTTATTCATTTATATAGCACATTTTTAAAACAAAAGCCACCATATGTCAAACGAAACTACAGTAGAAACCTAAATTTAACACATTTGCTGATTCCCACATTCACCTGTAACTGGGAATGAATCCCAGCTCGAGCTGCTAGAATAAGTTTTCCTGTTGGTAAGATAACACCAGAGTCCATTTCTGCATCTGAGCCATGACTTTTAATACCTTACTGCTATTAAAGGAACAGTACCAAAGAATTTCTGCTTGAAATGTTTCTAATAAACTAAGGCCCCGTCCACACGAAGTCAAAACGAACACGAAACGCTAATATTTTCCAGAACGTTTGTCTTAAAGACGGAGACGTAAAATAAATGTGATCGACCACATGAATGCATGAAAACGCTGCAAAATGTATGCCAGGCCTGTAAGTTGCGCTGTGGTGCCAAAGCAAAAATAGGTGAAAACAGGCAATGAAATGTTGGGCATGCGCAGTAATATTTATACAACAACCAAACCGGAAAACCGGAAAATGGCCCTGCAGGTCCATTTTCGTGGTTCAGTCAAATTCAGGTGCTGAACTATGTCGTTGATATTGCTCTGTTCTTCCTGGAGAAATTCCAGAAGAAGAAGATTGTGTTGTAAGCCCGACAGCAGGGTGAGTAGCATGAGCAGCAACCATTCAACACAGTACGGCGCATGCGTGTTTAGAGGCGACGCTATGACGCATGTATGTAAGAAAAAAAATGCAGTCAGAGCTTACAGATGGAAACGCGAAAAAGGTGTTTCAAAATCTTCCCACTCTGAAGGCTTAATAAAAAAAAAAAATGTTTACAGACCCCCCGAAACGCCGGCTTCGTTGGTGAAAAATTAGTGAATTTAGGCCAGGGTTTGACTTCGTGTGGACGGGGCCTAAGGTTGCCGTCGCCAGAGCTCATTTGTTTTATTGTTCTTTGCAGAGAAACATACTGATAAATCATAAAATAGGTCAAATCTAAATGCTTATTTAAAATCAGCTGTTTATTTGCTTTGGGTTTTATTTTACACCCCATTTATATCCAGTTTGGATCTGTTTTATGAGCCTGGATCAGAACATTATCAGCCATAAGTGTAGGTTACAGAAATGTACTTATGGGTTGGTAATCATAATAATCAGCATAAGTGTTTAGATTTCCGGAGATGTGCAGCCGGTTTGGTATTAATGAGGCTCACCTGTACTTTAACTTTGTCCTGCGGTTCCTGGACGTGTTCTAACGTGGCATCGATGTCCAGCGCCACCACCAGACCGGTTGTGAACCTCAGCGGGTTATCCGACTCCCCTGTTGGCTCTATGATTGTGGCCGATGCTCGATGGATCTGTTACAAAAGTCAATATTAGCTGTTTTCTGCCGTAGAAACTCCCAGATACATCATCTGCTTTTCTTTGACCTGTTCAGGGAGTCTGAGCTGCAGCAGGCCGCTCTGTCTGAGGCTGCTCTGCAGGATCTTCACCAGTTCCACAGGTTTACAGGACAGGAGGCGGGGCATTAGCTCCAACAGTTTGTCCACAAAACCATCCTGGAGGTGGGGCAGCTCTGTCAGGAACATCCTGAGGGAGCAGAAAACACATCAACCCCTGATTTACTCGCTTTTTGTTTTTTATTCCCGACAGAAAACTTTCTAATCTTGAGATGACTGAAAAACAACGACTTTTAAAAAAAAAGATAAAAGGACAAATAATACGGTAATAGAAACAAATATTACCTCTGAAAACTTTCAATCTCCTGCAAAAACTTCTCACAGCTGCTGATGAGAAGATCCAACCTAAGGAGAACAGAGAGCTGGGTAAATAATCTGAACTAATGGGGGCTGATGGCTGGAAGTTTATGGACCCACCCTGGTCTGGTGCGAGCCGTCAGAATGAGCTGCAGCGCTTTAGCCTGAAGGCGAACATGATGTATGGTAGCCACCTGCCTGCTCTCCAAACCGCTGTACAGAAACTCCAGCTTGTATGTTTCCTCTAAAATCTGCAGTTAAAATAAATCAAAACAGACTCCAGCTGTGCTCTGATGCCATCGTTTGTATTTGTATGCATGTTGGCGTATTTACCTGCTGAGCTGCAGCTGTGGCTGTGACGTTTTGTTTGAGGCAGAGGGGGACGGCCATGTTCCACAGCTTCTCCTGCAGGGCCTGAACAAAAAGGTTTCTTATGTTTTCTATTCTGACGCCAGGAATCCGAAGCTGAAAAAGGCCTGAAACTCGTACCTTCATGAGCAGCAGCTGGCAGCGCAAATATGTAGCACAGAAATCAGCTGCTCCAGCAAGCTCAGTCTGCAGCTCGCCCAGCCGCTGCAGATCTCTGGCAAAAAAAAACAACAAATGTTCGCATTAATTTAACGTATTCAGCCGGATGAGGAGTTTGTTATTTGTTTTTCTTTTCAATCCTGCATATATTTTTCCTTAGAGGATCTCAGATTCACAGTAGAGTCTGTTCAGGCTGTTCATGCTAACTAAAGCAAAATTAAGACTAATAAATCCCAATCCTGTCTTGTTTAAAGAAATCTGTGCAGACAAGGATTAAAAAAAATGTTATGAATAGAAAAGGATCGCAGCTTACTCAGTCCTAAACAGACTTAGACCATAAGACTGCCCCCACCTTTAGACCATAGAAACGGCCTAAGTAATATAACAGTTTTCTTAAAGCTACACACCCATTTAGACCCAGTTTCACTTCAAATAAATGTATATAATAAATACATGCATCTGCAATACCTTACATTTTTAACTTGATGGAGATAATTAAACTTGGTAGAATTAAATAAATATTTGGAGCAAACATCTCCATCACACTTTACCTCTACCAGAACAATAATATGAACATGCTAATAGTGCTACGTTAGCATGGCTATGTGGCGTTGGATGGTAAAAATTAGTTGAATAAATTACCCATATTCAAAGAGGTATATAGGAAAAAATGCAATCTTCAGTTACACCTGTTACAATTATTACATATTTAAACAATTAAACTAATATTTAAATTGATTTAATTGAAATTTCAGTTTATTTTGTTGCAATTTCAATTGAATTTTCTATGCTGAACCGTTATAAATAAGTTGTTTTCATAACATTTTCCTCCATTAATTGTTAACTGTCGTATGGGGAGGATCAGTCATTCAGTAGAAAACAGCAAAAAATAAAATATAAATTTTTATTGATACCACAAGTGTATAACAAAATTGAAGAAAGTCATCTGGTCAGTGCTTACAGAAATAAGTCGATCATATATATTGTGGAAAAATGAAAGCAGTGCGTTCAGAAGAACCAAAGAAAACACATTATTGCATCTCCTGTTTCATTCTGTTTGTATTGAGTTTGTCTCTTCCTGAGGAATGGAAACTGTTGCTGATTCTGCTTGGCCTTGCTTTAAATCATCTTTTTTTTTTTTTTACAGTGTCCAGTCGGGCAATGTGGCAATAAGAATAATTGTCTTTATTCCAAAAGGAGCCCAACATATTTTACTTTCACAAGTGGAGCAGTAAGGCTATCGCCATAGTGTTCCGCTTGATTTATGCATATAAATTGCTTTTATATAATTATGCAGGGAGTTTTACAGATTATATGGACACTGCAATGTAGGTAGAACAGAAAAGGAAAAACAGGAGAAAAAAGGAGAAAAGATGAGAGCTTTAAATTATCTTTAACATCTGCTTGAGGATAACAGCTCAGACTGAGTGTAACCCAGGTAAGAAGAGTCCTTTAGGGTGTTATGGGCGGACAGAAATCTTCAGGGCTGCATTAATGACCACCTGAAACCAATTCCTCCTCAATAGAGGGATGCTGACACTTCATTTCACCAAAGCAAACTGTTGCACATGGAACCTGTTTTAACTGAAAGTCCAAGTTTTTTTCTAAGAAAGTTTTTTTTAACCATGTGCAAAAAAAGTAAACCAGGGAATAAAACCTATTCAGCCTCTTTAAATTGTGGGGCTGCAGTTGAATCCAGTTTACCGTATTGTGAAGTTCAGCAGGTCCTGAGCTCCAGGTGTCTCCAGGTTCTGGATGGTGCTGACCCTGTTAAGACTCTGCTGCAGGAAGAGTTTGGCCGACTC